TTGATGCTTTTTGTTTCGGCTACAGCAACTTCGCCGCGGTATTCGTACTTGGAGCCAAATACTTTCAAGGCAAAACCAAAATCCCCGATGCAGCACGTTCGATCGGCTTTGACGAGCACGTTACGCGAGTTGAAGTCGCGATGCGCGACGCACGGCTTATATTCGTCACCCCGACTTATTTCGGTATGCAGATGCGATAGGCCACGCGTGATGGACTTGGCCATGCTGCAGAACGCTTCGAAGCCCATGGTATTGGCAATTAACCAATCCTGCAAGCAACCGAGCGGGGCAAGCGAAAGCACTAGTTGGTACTCGATTTTGCCATCCATTGTGTGACGCTCATCATAGCCTAGAGAAGCAATAAGTGAGTCCCGAATTGCCCTAGCGAAATGTAAATATAACTCGCGTACTTACCGAAATAAGTCAACAGCGAAGGACTGTCCATCATAGGCAACGAGTAGATATTGCGTTCGTTGATGTAGTACGGATAATGGCTTTCAGGAAATATCTTCACGGCCACCTCTTGGTCGTGCAACAAACCCTTCATCACCGTGCCGTATTTGCCATTGCCGAGCATACAAATTAAGTTTATATTGTCGACGTTTCGTAGGTTTGAACTGTAACCGGGACCGGAGGGTGCAAGTGGAGCCTCCTCAGGCATGGGCTTGTCCTTTATTTTATGAACATAGCAGTAGGCAGCCATGCCACTGACTGATAAACACAAAATCAGCACAAACATTGCCATTACAACAACACCAAAGCCGGCATCGCCAAATCTTCCCGGAATGTTTTCTCCGATAGAATAAATCGGCTTTGAAAGCTAAAGGGAAATATGTCGAAAATTAAATGTAAATAAGTAAGAAATTTCTAACTGGACATTAGAGCAAATAGGTACCTGCAGTGGCGCTGGCTCAACCACAGCCACATTTTTGTTGCACGAATCGCCCGAACAGCAGCAGTAATAAAGGGAATTGTTACTCGATGTGGGCGCCGAACTTGTGCATTCCGTCTGACGGCACGTGACATTGCTTTCCGTGCTCTCCTTCCAACAACCTGTAAACAGAAAGACATCAAACATCTAGTTATTCTGAGTTTCCCCGAACGAAACGAAAGAAAAAGCTTCGTAGCCCACCTTGTTTCTCGATTCGAGTGCCGTTACGGGTTTGACGCCACAACGCGAAGCAGAACGTGTAGTCTGTCTGACAAATGCGTCGATGTGGCGCTGCTTGTTCACTGACAGGTGTGGATTCTGCATCCGGCGGGTTCTGATTCTCCGCGCTATACTGTGACTGCCCGCCGCCATTCGATGAGTATTCCTCAAAATCATCATCATCCTGAATGAACTTCTCAGCTTCCATAAAACTCATGCAGGCGAATGGATTTTCAGCTAAAAATAAAAATTTCTGCGATTAATCATTCTAAATCAGGAATCTCGAAGCGCGTTTGAGCTTACGGGTAATTGCTTGGACCCATGCGAAGAGCGCCAAATAGCAGAGCAATTTTAGGGCAGGCATCGTTGGAATGACTTCACTATGTTATTGGTTCCAAAGAGAGTTTTAATAACAGATTGGCGCTGGCATTTTTTCGTACTGCTGGAAAATATAGAAACCAAGCACAATGCTGATCAAATAAGCAATTTTTAATTTTTTCATTAGCATTCGGTGAAAGATCATTACCCAGTTAGGTATTTTACGTGCTAGCTTNGCATCCGGCGGGTTCTGATTCTCCGCGCTATACTGTGACTGCCCGCCGCCGCCATTCGATGAGTACTCCTCAAAATCATCATCATCCTGAATGAACTTCTCATCCTCCATAAAACTCATGCAGGCGAATGGATTTTCAGCTAAAAATAAAAACTTCTGCGATTAATCATTCTAAATCGGGAATGTCGCTTTTAAGCTTACGGGTAATTGCTTGGACCCATGCGAAAAGCGCCAAATAGCAGAGCAATTTTAGGGCAGGCATCGTTGGAATGACTTCACTATGTTATTGGTTCCAAAGAGACGTTTAATAACAGATTGGCGTTGGCATTTTTTCGTGCTGCTGGAAAATATAGAAACCAAGCACAATGCTGATCAAATAAGCAGTTTTTAATTTTTTCATTAGCATTCGGTGAAAGATCAATACCCAGTTAGGTATTTTACGTGCTAGCTGACATACGCATAATACATATGTTATGTAGATATATATGTAAATATAGGCTTAAACGAACCCACTGTGGCCTTGAATAAGATTAAATACGTATGAGTCATTACTATAACACAAATTGATATAATATTGCTGATAGCTGCATCGGTCTACATATGCATACCTGCGAGTGACAGCATGGATTGGAGTGGGTAAAAAAGTTTAGAATTTTAATTTCTATTTTTAACCCACTTCAAAAAAATGAGGAGGTTTTCAATACATAGGAATATATACTTTTTATGAAGGTTAAAGGATAACTTTGGTTCGGGTGAACCATTTTCGGTAATTATTTGGTTTAGTGCCGATCATTTGATCAAGAAGAAGTTAACGGTACTCGTAAGTTATATGAGCATATAAGTTGATTATATTTTCNCACTGTGGCCTTGAATAAGATTAAATACGTATGAGTCATTACTATAACACAAATTGATATAATATTGCTGATAGCTCATCGGTCTACATATGCATACCTGCGAGTGACAGCATGGATTGGAGCAGGTAAAAAAGTTTGGAATTTTAATTTCTATTTTTAACCCACTTCAAAATATATATATTTTTTATGAATGTTAAAGGATAACTTTGGTGCGGGTGAACCATTTACGGTAATTATTTTTTTATCCGAGGCGGTCACATATTGATTTGGTTTTGTGCCGATCATTTGATCAAGAAGAAGTTAACGGTACTCGTATGTTATATGAGCATATAAGTTGATTATATTTTCTGATTAACAATTTGTTGTTTTAATTTGTCAGCGGACTACATACTATTTTATTTTTACCTTTTAATATTTTTTACAAATATGAAATAATTAATTTTTTATACCCCCCGTCTGAAAATAGTGCGCGATGATCTCCACTTTATCCTCTTCTTTGTTCTGCAGCTGTGACAGAAATCACTTTGTCTGACAAGTTCCAAGGTCTATCTTTATTTTATGATATTTATGAGTCTTTTCGCAAAGTGGTATAGCCGTGGTACACTAAAACTCTAATACTTTATGTCAGAGTAGGTCGTACTACTTACATTAATGAAAGAGAACTTCATTGGTCGGCTAGTCGATGGTTGAGATTCCAGTAGACTCGCGAAAATTCGCCCAAACCTTCCACCTCAAGCTGACCATCGACACCAAGGAGATCCCAACATGGATATTTGGATTTTTTTTTTTTAACTAGCAAAAGTTAAGACTTGCAATTGCGTCTCTAGTGTGGCTCATACTATGTTGGTAAAATTTGGTCGATCATGAGGTTCCTGTCCAATCGCTGAAGCGCGATGGCCGGGTATAAATCACATTTTGCGATTATGCCTTCTCTAAGCCGAAGATAGCTCGCGCGTATTGGATAAGACCAATAACCTCTTAAAACCAAATTACTTAGCGATGAATTTCGGGTGGCCATCGGAAAGGCAAAAGCCTCTAAAACCCGGACAGACTATGGGTGTTTATGCCAAAATCGTTAGGGTTTGCGCGTCAGCTCACAGAGCAAAGTCTTATCGCGCAATAGCTCTTATTTCCCCAGTAATGGAGACCTCTGGGGCCTTAATACATTCGAAATTTATTACCAATTAGCAACATAAAATTTAGATTACTTGTGGCATTTACATGCCCTCATCGTGAGCCAGCCACCATTTTTAGAAACTCTCACTCCATCATCATCACCAGATTTCCACTGCCATCTATAGCAGGTGAAAAGTTTAAGCTGTCTGGAGGGATTTGCGTAGCTCTGGCACAATTACGGTTCAGATTCAATGTCTACTTAAACCCACTTAGCTACTTAAACACTATTTCTCTTTGCTCCTACTCTCACGAGCATAGTTTCCTGAGCCTACCGTTAGTTGAGATGAACGACAACCGCTACAACGGCAACAATATCAATGAAGACTGTGGTTTAGTTCGACTTTACTGGGATGCATCCCATATGTTGCTTGTGCACGATTCCGAGTCTAGCCCTGTGGCGTTTTTCCATCTGTTCCTCACGGGGTTCCTTATAGAGAACTTGGTGTCAGAACACGTTGGATGAGTGGAAATTTCCTAGTATTAAGACTATGTTGAGCTTTCCGTAGAAATCGTCAGATGGAATATTTAAAATTAGTATCGACAATAAATGGTTTAACTTCCCTTGTTTTTGCTTGTACACATGTAGCTGTTATATGGACATTTAGAGCACTTCCATTCCAAATTTCTATCTACATATTTGATCTCGGTTGAAAGAGTATTCATTTATATTACACGAAATTATTTCAAGGCTATTCTTTTCCTGCTGCTGTGACTGCTATATAGCTAGCTTAACTATATACATACATATGAGATGCACTCCCAAGGGACACCTCTAGTACATATTTAGCCACCCTCATTCCCAAAAGATAGTTATGCGAAATTATTACCAGTTTGTGGACTTTGAACCACATTCGTGCCAATTGGAATGTTAAGGTTTCTTATACAAAAAAAGGCAAAAATTAAACAAATTAAAAGTGCGCACAAAAGCTCAAACGAAACGCAAAACAAAGAACGTTCTTCTTTGTTTACTGATTTTTTGATTACACTTGTGTAGGTGCTAGCTGCGCACTCTTCGCACACATTTTCATAACAGACCTAACCTTTTTTAGTTGTTTCTGTTTCTTTAGTACGGTTGCTTCCATTTGGCACTGCATTCACATATTTGTGATTTTATTTGCATTTTGTGACAAAACTCGAATATTGAATTAATGAACTTTAATCACTTTCAAGGGGTTGTATTATGTGTAAAATGAGGGACAAGCGAATGCAATCCAGAGATGATTAGCAAAAGAAGAAATTTCGCAATATCTACCGAGGCTAAGCGTGTGTGCAGCGTTGACATGCAAAGCAAAAGCGTTGCGAAAGCTATGTTTAAAAAACTGGTTCTCAAGTATACATACATACTCCCCGAACTTCGCTTGCGCTTGTCTCTTACTGCCATCCCTAAATTCGAGCGCTAAGCGTTGCGTTTTCCATTGTCGTCAACGAGTGTCAGCGCGCGCTATCCCCAAATCAGCGCGGCGAAACTTTTGTCGTTTTCTCATTCCCACTTGTTTCTATTCTCTTTTCCTCTTTCACCTTTTTGTTCTTTCTCTTTCTTTCCGTCTTCGGCATCCAAATTCCACACTTAACGCCCCGACAAAAATTAAAAATTCCATTTGCTCCGCGCCAGCGCCGCGTTATTGTGGGATGCTTCATAAAAATTGTATGGACATGAGGATTTTTGACAGTTGCTTGCCGCTTGACGCGCCAGTTTGGGGATGGACGTTATGTAGATACATTGTAGCATTTATTCAGGCACCACCGTCACTTAATTACCTTTATTGTCGGTGTGTAATTGTACACTCACAAG